TCCAGGCTGAACAAGCCCAGCTCTCCCAGCCAAGCTATCCAAGTGTACTACACCAAATCTAATTTTTCTTTTTTTTTTTTTGGCTACTAAAGCCAAGTAGTAAAATTCTGATTTAAGTCTGAATGCTGTTAATGTGTTCAAAAGGTACAAAGAATGTGTTCTGGTAAAAGTGGTTGGTTTGTGTTGGCATGGTGGCCTGCGTTTTCTGGCAGATTCAGAACCCTAACAACCTCTATACAACTAGATTGCGAGTTACACAGTTGTGTGTTAATTGGGTTAATCTTCATCATTATATGTATGTGTTATTTGATTAAGACTATTTCGTTCACTTCCAGATAGAAAAGCTATTCAGAAGAATACCAAAATATAAAATTCGATTATCTTCAAAGGGAAAAAAATAAAATAATTAAGCTGTTGACAGTCTGTCCATGAGTATGGAGATATCATTTGATATAATAGACAGTGGGCTTGTGACTGTAATATTTAGTCAAAATAGTCCTGTTAGTTCTGAAAACTTAAATCTGGAAACTGTAGTAATTAATAATCCCATTGAAGAAGGATTGCTATCTAGTCAAGACAGTCATTTATACACTGTAAACATGGAAGAGACTTTGTTAGATTACTTCAAGTATCCACTTACCAATGAAAATCAAGATCCAGTAGTAAAAGTAGAAGAACAACTACATGGAAACAACAGCTGTGATGAAGATCTTGAAAAATACAAGGAATTAGATCTTCCAGAAGAAGCTGAACATATGCCTTTACCTTCCCTGCCTTCAAATGGTGTCCCCCTTTCTTCTGTAACGATGCAGCATAAAAATCCCAGCGTTCCAACTTCAAGCATTTTCTCTCCTGAAGGAACAGTCAATCAGAATGTCACAACGATACCAGTAAGATTAAGTGAAATAGGAATTTTTATATATTCATGCTTGTTTGTGATTTACATGTGGGGATTTAACACATTAAAACTTATATGGGAACCACATAACGTTTAAAGTTATATTATAAATTTTATATTAGAACAAACTTAGTAGGAAATTACAGAAATAAATTTCTGGTTTATATTGCCAGAAGTAACATGCAGTTGAACATATGGTTCTGACTGCAGTTCTTTTTTGTCAGTGTTACAAGCCATGTTTTTAAATGGCTGGGTAGTTATTTTGCTCATTAAAAGAACCTTATATTGTCACAAATATGCCCACTTTGGTTTTATATACTACTGTCTGTATTAGCAACTGTTAGGCAGTTGTACAAAGTACAAATAGAATATTAACTTTTGTTCTTTAATTCCACAGGTAACACGCTTGTCATCTTAAAATTTATAGTCCAATTGAGTTAAAAAGTAACTTATTTGCAGCAGTAAACTGTAGCCTCTAATGTTAAGTCTCCATGGGGAAAGTAGTTTCATAAGAGAGGGGTTTCCTATTACTTTCTATGTTTGGTAGTTTTTCTGTGTCGTTTGAAGTTGCATTTTCTATGTTTGATAAATTACTGTCTAGAAAGATATGCAGCATAAAGCTTCTTGTGATGCTCACGGGACCAAATCCAACTGCTTATTGCAGGCTGCTTCTAAAGGGGCACTGCGATCTCAAAGACAGCTTCCTTTGAGGAGCTATCTTGAGATACTTAAGCATAGCCGTTGATTTTTTTCCACATAAATGTTTTGACAAACAGTGCTGTTCTCAGATTCCAAACTGAAAAGCCCTAAGAAACTCACAAAAATCCCTTTGTTGCAAATGAGGTCTGATTTTCCCTTGCAGTATCCTACTAAGGTCACAGCGGGTCTGCCTGTGCAGGAAAAGTTCTATCACAGAAATCATTGCTACCCAGCCCAGTGTGCTTCCTAGTGGTGTTTCGTCCTGAGGTGCTTGAGGTTTGCTGTGATAGTTACCTTACGTGTTCTGGTTTTCTTTTTGATTCAGGTTATGATATAGTTTAAAAGTATCTCTGGCTTGCAAGGGCACACACAATGTTCAGTATTCTCAGTAGTTCTTTAATAATTGAGACCTTCAATCTTTCGAAATTTTATTGAGATACAAAAGGCTGCTGGAAGCCTCTAGAAAACAAAGATGCGATTAAGGAAGAACAGTTGCTTTCTGCAAAGACAAGTTGAAGATAGTGATCTTCACGATCTCTGTACACGGACCTGAAAATGAGATTTAGAAAAAGAATCTTTCTGGCCAGCTCTCTTTCTAGTATCCTTACAGTTCATCACACTAAATCTTCAGGTTTCCTTAATCTGCCCTGTTTCTTGAAGGACTAGAACAAAATTCTATGAGATTATAAATAATTTTATTGAAAGAAAGCAAGCTGGTCGGTTGTTTCTATGCTGCTTGCTTGCCTTCCTAAACTGCTGTCAATATGAAAAGGAAGCACAGCACACACAGATAGCAGATTTTCTAGTCTTAACAATGTCAATTCCAATTTGAAGCTAGAAAATAGTTGATATCTGTCTTTGTTCCATTTTCTGTTAATGCGGTTTGATTTTGAAAATACACATGTAGGTATTAAGTAGGATGCTATTATAGTTGTAAATGCATTAGATCTGAACCATAACTGTATTTTGAGCAGAAAAAGCGGAAATAATATTCCAAGTATAAAATGGTATCTGGTAATGCTCACTGGGCTGCAGCATTTATGTGCTTAATTATGTCATGAAAATCTAAATGACTTCTAATTTCCAAGGTAACTTTAAAGCAGATTTTTGTTTATTCATTTTGCTTTTCAAAAAATTAATCATTTAATGCATAAAATAGTTAGAAATGAAACATTCTTTTCTTCAGGTGTTCAGATCATTCATACTTCCAGTTGCAGGTGAGAATAAAGGTATTTATTATGACCAATTTAAAAGAATCCAAAACAGTACTATGCAGTTAGAAAACTTGATGAATTGCTTAAAAGGTAAGTTCCCCAAGTGACTGGGAGGGATTTTTATTTATTTGTTTTTCTCCTCTTCTAAGCTTAGGGAAGGATTTAAACAGCTAAACAAATTAATTTGGAGATTTGGCAAATTGCAGTATGAGCCTTTCTGATAATGTTAATATAACTAAGGTGTTTGAAAGGAGAATGGACCACTGTTTGATCATGTATGTTAATGCTGCTTCTACCACTCCGTTCAGTCTTTTCTCTTTCTCCCCATTTCCTTCAGGGGACTGTGAAGAATATATTCGTTCTTGCAGGACGTATTTTTGGTTTTTATTAAGTTGAACAATGTTTTTATTTCACTTTGAAATTTGACCAGTGGTTATGAAAGTTGGGTGGTTTGTACTGATGCTGCTGCTGACATTAAGCTTGTGAGCAGGTGTTTGGTACGTTCTGCCCTGAACCTGTGCTGCTTCAACCACTCCGTTCAGTCTTACTTTTAATTTTCTCTTTCTCCCCAGTTCCTTCAGGGGACTGTGAAGAATATATTCGTTCTTGCAGGACGTATTTTTGGTTTTTATTAAGTTGAACAATGTTTTTATTTCACTTTGAAATTTGACCAGTGGTTATGAAAGTTGGGTGGTTTGTACTGATGCTGCTGCTGACATTAAGCTTGTGAGCAGGTGTTTGGTACGTTCTGCCCTGAACCTGTTCAGGGTTAAACTGACCGCTAGGTTTGATCTTGCAAGGTAGTTCATCTTGAAGCTAAATAAATTCTACAAAATAATCACAATAAACCTTCTAAAGACATCAAAAAGACCCAAAGTGAAGTCTGTTTTTCCCAGCAAGCCTGTTACAAAAGAATATTAAGTACTTCTTTTACGAGAATGTAATGTCGCGACACCAGAATCTCTTTCATTGATCCTGTAAAGGAGCTCTTGGAATGAAACACTGATCTTTTTATAAACAAAACATGCTTTATTTTATGTACTAGAATCTGCAAGTGATATCTAAGGCTTACTTCAGACTAGTGCTTCTGTCTATGATGAAATAGTAAGTATGCATGCAAGATTTTATTGTTATTATTGGAAGGATCCGTCCAAGTGTTGAATATCTAAAATGTGATTTATTCTACGTGCCAGAGGGTAAAATTCAAACACTGTCCTATCTGATCTGTTCAGAAAAGAGAGGGAAAGAAAAATGTTGCTCTGTAGATTTCCTACACTGCTACATTGTGGAGGAAGGAAGAATAGCATCTGGAATTTTCTCCTATTTCTGTTCCTGCTGGCTCCTCTTGTTAGCCATTTGCACATTCTTGTTCCAGTTCGGGCCAGTTGCTGATGCGGGATGTGGGGGGGACTTCTAAGGCCACCTAAACACACTGGGACTCTGCCAAATACCCCTGGACAGCTGATTGGTATTTGAGCCTTTATCCCATGTGCAGTGCACATGAAGGAACAGGGCTGAGGGTGAAAACTTGGCTTTTACATTAGCATTCCTGGCCTAAGGAGAATCAGAGAACGGGTTGGATCAGTTTGGGTTGTAAGGGACCTTCAAAGGTCATCTAGTCCAACCCCCTACAATGAGCAGGGACATCTTCAACTAGATCAGGTCGCCCAGAACCACATCCAGCCTGGCCTCAAATGTCTCCAGGGATGACAAATCCACCACCTCTCTGGGAAACCTGTTACAGTGTTTTACCACCCTCATTATAAAAAATTTCTTCCTCATGTCCAGCCTGAATCTTCCCTCTTTTAGTTTAAAACCATCACCCCCTGTCCTAGTGCAACAAGCCCTGCTAAAAAGTCTCTCCTCATCTTTCTTATGGGCCCCTTTCAAGTAGTGAAAGGCTCCATATCTTTCCTGTACTGAGGACTCCAGAGTTGGACGCAGTACTCCAGGTGGGTTCTCACCAGAGCAGAGTAGAGGGGCAGAATGTTCTTTGCAACTTAATCTCTTAAAATGCTTGAGTGTTTCAAATGTAATTTCACAGATATATGCAAGACAAACTTGAGAAATCCAGGTATTTCATGAAAGGAAGATTTATGAAAACTACTGGAATTTCGTAGCCATGTTTTTCAAGGTTGTCCATTCAGTGTTTTAAAGTGTGTACTGAGAGGGGCAAGGCTTCATCTGGAAGGGTAACTTTCTAGAAGATGACATTATAATAAGATAATGGATTGGTAAGATAGGAGAGAAATTGGTTTTCAACAAATGCAACATTTATGGTGGAATGCCATGACACACAATAGTTCATCACTGTAACAAAAGTTCATTTTAGAAAAGTCTGATTTATAGGTATAACTGAATTTGCAGTCTAGTCTCAGATGTCTGCTTCTTACTTAGACTAATGCCCAATGATCTCCAGTCAAGTTGTATAATTCAAGATTAATTCTCGTTTCGCATTATTTTCTGTGGCTATGGCCTAACTTCTTCAAGGCAGTTTAGAAATCGATTGATGCTTCATGATGTTGGAGACACTGAACGCCATTGCTACTGTGAAGTAGGTTACTGTTCATTGTTATTCTTCAGGAATATCTTTGCTTGAAATATAACCAAAAGTCTTTCTGCCATTGACAAGTAAGTTGACTATTCTCAGTATTATATTTGAATACAATCCTCACTTTAAAACTTATGATTTCTGCAGATAAATTTTAAAATTTATTGTATTTGCTTGGAATTTAAAGTAGATTTTAAAGCAGATTTTAAAGCATGCCTGGTAAGTGCTAAAACTTTATATTTCAGCGTGAGGTAAGAGAGGCAGTTAGTAATGTTACTGAGAACCAACAAGACAGAAGAATTTTTCAGAGTTCAAATGTTGACGAGTCTGGCTGCAAGTTATTAACATTGCACAGTGTAATGGAGGAATCCAGAAGTTCACACAGGAATGATTGCAACCCTGTGGTAATTATATCCTGTAATTGATATCAAAACTGTATGCTAGAGAAAATTAACTTATTTGTAGCACACTACCATCAGAAAGTCACACTTACTAAGTGTGGTATCAAAAAACAATAAGGCAGTCGCTGTCTTGGATTCAGAGTCTATAATTTATCTAGTTGTAGTGCTACTTTATACAGATGTGGTTTTCTATTTAACAATTGGAAACAAAGAATCAGAATGTGAAGATTACTTCATCCAAAGGAAATGGTTTGATTTAAAATCACACCTAAAGAAATGAAATAAAACATGAACAAATTACAATAGTATGTTCTGGTTAGGGAACTGAATCTGAAGCCAGCACTGGTAAATACCTAGAATCAGCTCTGTAAAGCCCCATGGAGCAATTTAGAGAATCGGGAATCCATATCACTTAAACTGAGGAGCTACAGCATTAGATCTCAATAGCTGCTTCAAAAAATAAACTGAAATTAACGGGCAAAAAGCAAACATGTAATGTCATAATGATCCATTTGTTTGAGAGATTCCAGTCTGTGATTATGCTTCTTTATATGGCAGCTGGTACTCTTGTGAAAACCTTCATATGCTTAGAATTACAGTTTTTAAAAGCTAATCATTAGTTATTTGTTCCAGGTTATCTGCCAGCTGGAAGGAGGTACTCAAACACTCTGTATCAACAGTTGTGGCACACAAGAACTAAACCCAGTTCATCTAATTTCGGAGTATCACGACCAAAATAATTATCTTCAGTCAGGTATAATAAAAATGAAAATTATCTCTAGCTTGTCAGACAGTGTGTTAATGTGCAACTGAATGTGTTTATATTCTTAAGCAGCAACAGCAGTAGCTATCACCAGTTATTATTTTACTTTACTTTGTAACTGTAGAATTACTACGTGCTTCAGTGTAATAAAAATGATGTAAAGGATATGTTGAATTTATTGAAAGTATTTAATACACAGATTACTTTCCGCATAAAGCACATTTGGCACAAGCAGGGGCATACAGTTGCGTTTACCCTAGTTTGCCACAGTGTGTCACTGTTTCTTTATAAACGAGAAGCAGCGTTGAGGACTATGGGTCTATTTTAGTCGTGGGATTCAGAGTATCTCACTAATATCTACGTAATTATGTGAACTTGAAATACCATCAGTTTTTAAAGAAAGTAGTTTAATGAAAAGTACTTAATGGTATTTAGATGGAGTAGCACATTTTAATCTCAGCAGCAACAAAGTATTTGAGTGTTTAGTTTTAATTTAAATAAATATCTTTTTTACCCAAAAATAGCTTCCTCAAAACCATTGCTAACATTGTTTATTTCATTATGTATTATTATAACTTTATTACAGTAGTGCACTTTGATGGCAATGAGAAAACCAAGCTTTTTAATGGTAGGCACCATACAAGCACAGATATTGCTCTCAGTATCAATAGGTGCTGAGAATGAGCATTTCTCAGTAGATGCACTAGGTATGGAGCCTACTCACTTATGTTTGCGAGAAGCCATCAGAAGAATAAACCAGGCACATGCAATTTAAAGCTTATGTTCCTTTATAAAATCCAAACTCTCGTTCATTTGCTATAATGGTACGGAAGAACAAGCTGAGGAGGAGTGCACTGGCAAATGTTTTTTTAGTTTTTATTTGCTTGAGCTTTCTTCTGTTTAACTCATCTTCACAGCAAGTAAAAGAATTTGGTTCAGAAATAAAACTTTTGCATTTTCTTTCTTTATTCGGGAAGTAAGTAACTACAGGTAGAAGATTCATCTTGTAATCTTACTATGACCGATTGATAGGTCTTTTTCTGCAAGGGCTAGGGTGTTCATATACTTACATGCAGGTCTTCACTAGGACTTACACAAGGACTTACTCTTGCAGCAATAGTTTCTCCATAGGTTTTTAGAAATTTTTTTTTTTCATAACCTAAAGACCAGATGCTCTCTCAGAACTCTGGAAATTTGTAAAATAAGAACTGAGGCTAAATATATTTAATTGTTTCTGGTGGTGTTCTTAGAAAAATATTTTAAGTCTGTGGCATTTGTGTTTAAATGTACTTGATGTCATAGAATAAAAACAGCCTATGGTCAAATTCCTAGCTGAAAAATTGGTGGTGGTTGGTCTGTCAAGGGTGTTCTTCTGTGGTCGGGTTTTTATTCTTGGGGTTTTTTTTTGTAATGAAAACAACTTTTCTGGAGAGAAAACTTCTAGGTCCTTCATTGACACTATTTATTGTAGGATAAGTTTGGATTCAGAACTATGCTAACAGAAGGCAGACAGCCTCAGGTGATTTTTTTTTTAATTAACAAAATAAGTTGAAGATACCGATTTACCTGTATGCTTAGTCAAAAAAATATGTATGCATAAATGAAATTTTGTACACCATGAGTACTTCTTCAGGTAAGGGTCTTCTTTTCAGATGTGGACAACCCTGTAACAGCTGTACTGGGGCAATTTTCGCCTGATCCAGGTGAACTGGTTCTAAATGAGCAAGAGGTAAAGTAGCTCTGTCCTTTAAACTTGTCAATTTCAGTATACACTCTTTTTCCTTTTCTTAAAATGTATTGTTAAGTCTATGTTAGGAACTAATAATTGTATGCGTTTTCTAAAGACATTTTAGCTAGTTAGGACAGATTGGTTGTGTACTCAGTATGCTTTCTGCACAGAAAGTTTTCTGATTTCAACATTTTCTAGAATACCAGAATTAAAAATACAGTTTTCCATAGGAACAGTAAATTTATTTCAGTTTTGAAACCTTGATTTTGGTATGATATGGAATATATTATTTCTAAGAACTTTTTTAAGATAATTTTGAGGTGAAGGAAAGCACATTGGCTTTCACCAGAAGAAGGGGACTATTTCCTTCCAGTAGGTTTTTTTACACTCTTTTCTCCAATTAGGATTTAACAGTCATTAAGTCTTTATAATTTTTGTTGATGAAAATTGAACAGAAGACTAAAACTCTTTGTTATATGTTTGGCTTCTCATGTTTTACTTGCAACAGAGCTGGTAGCAAGAATCACTGCAATGTTTTAATTGTTAACTTTTTATTTGTGTGAAGTGAAGATGTGATGTTGGTACAAACACGGCAAATGGTTTGTGGATAGCAGCCACTATTACAAAGAAGGGAAGAAAAAGCCCAAGGGTCAGACTGAATGATGATCTAGGGAGTCTTTAATCGCTAGAGGTGGTATGTCTGCAAATAGGTGCCAAAACCTTCTGGAGCAGTGATGTAGTCAAGCTTGTAATTCTTCTCTAGCTTTATCCCAAATTAGTTGTTTCCTAGGTATCTTCTCTTGTTTTAAATATGCTAATTTTCCTCTTCTTTGTGGTCACCTAAGATTAGTCACCTACTTACAGTTATTCACTGTCCCTCCATTACTGGTAGTACCATCATAGTCCTAATTGTTCTTCCCTTGTCTTTCTGCATAACTAGGCCCTAATTAACCATATGTCTGAAGAGACAACAGATCTGAAGTGTGTTTTCTTGGTCTATGAGCTGATTATTATTTTAAATTTTGCTTAGTCTTCTACCAATTAGATGTCATATTGCAGATTAATGTAAGTCATAAAGTCACTAGTCAGTTTCAACTGACTACTGGAATTAAAAGCAAATAAACCTAGAATTATCAGTAAACTGAAACTAGCATGCCAACACTGCAACACTGAAAGCTGCTCTTGGTTCTTCGCATTGGGAGAATTGGGATTCCTGACATACTGAATGGTTTCCAAAAAGAGATGCATGCTGTTTTCATGGCTCTTTACTTCCATGACTTTTTATTAGGAACCTTGGCACTCACATTATCCCTGCAGCATTTTCTTTGTGTTACTTCTTCTGTTAACTTACAAAAGTGTATTTTTTTTTTAAATAATATGAACAGGATATATGCATTTTATCTTGAACAGTTTGGAAGTGGACCTTTAGGAGCAGTAGCCAGCACTGCCACATTCGATCTAGAATCAGATCTGCATGAGCTAGTGAAAATGACCTCAGAGGGGTAAGATTCATGAAACATCTTACATCCCTAATGACTTGTATTTAAAACTGGCAATGACTCCTGGACATTTTCATGTTGCATGGCTGCTTCTCTCTTGTAACAAAAATGCAGTTCTGTAAGAGTGCTTTCCGTATGTGTCTTGTTAGTCATGGTGCCAGGTGCTGGTGGTCCAGACTATGTAGGAGGGTTTCAGGTTATGTTTCCAAATCTAATCAGCATGTGGTTACCCTGTATTTGTAACACTAATGGAATTATTTTAATAATATTTAGTTGTGGATCATTTTTAAAGAAGATGCAAGTCCAGCATGAAAGGTGAGAGAGCTTTGCGGCTGCACAACAGGCAGCTGTGGTGGATAGCAGGAAATTATGGGTTGCTTATTCTCTTTTTCTCATGTACTCTCTGAGGCCACACTTGTTAAGTAGCACCAATATTGCTGTAAAAAAATAAAATCAGGATTTATTGTTTCAAAACTATAGAATAACTAGTTTTCATTGTAGTTGTATTTAGGGTTTTTTTCTGATTTTTTTCCTTTTCCAACCCGTGTAGCTTACCTTATCGTTCAGGGGTTACAAAGTCTAAGAAACCGTGTAACTGCACAAGATCTCAGTGTCTTAAATTGTAAGTAATACTTTATCAGCATTTAATAAATGCTTATAACAGTGCATGATGAAAGGACAAACATGGAAGAAATGTGTGCTTTAAGATGAACAGTACATACGTGTCAAAAATGACTCATCTGAAACCGAGTTAGGAAGATCCCCATTTGATGTAAACTAGTGTCAGACAAGCTCAGGATTTGCAGAGGTGTAGATGACTGCTTATAATGCAAATTATGAAAATTAAAAGAGAAGCTAGAAGAATTGTTCAGCGCATATGTGGAAAATCCTATGTAGGATGAAAATGCTGTATACTAAAATGGAATTTCTCTTTCTTGCTGCTGCTTTTGTACATAAATAATACGCAGAGAGATGTACACATGATAATTAAAGGTTGATTCATTGATGAACTAGGTGTGTTTTACAAAATGTAAAATTGAAAGAGAGAGAGAAGCTCTTTGTCTAGGTTTTGGGTGTGATTAAAGTACAGAGGAAGGAACATTTTCGTGAGTAGAAACTGAACATTCTGCCTAGAAGTAGAATTTAAATATTTACACTTAAACCAGTTAAGATTTTAATTGCTTATGTTATTTTACATGTTAATCATAGATATTGTGATTGCTTTGCCAATGGTGATTTTTGCAACAACTGCAACTGCAAGAATTGTTTCAACAATCAACTTCATGAAAATGAGAGATTTAAAGCCATTAAGGTGAAAAAAAGAGAGTACAGTACACATTGGTGTCAGCTTCATGTATGAAAAATACTGTGGTATTGTTTTTTCCAGTAGTTACAGTATTTGAAATATGTTATTTTTAATCTAAATAAAGCTAAGTGTTGCTTTTATTATTCTTACATAAAGAAATCTAGGGATTTCTGTCCTTTTTTTTATAGAACTTCTGATACTTGGGATTAAACTTGGTGATATGTTAGCTGGATGATATTTTTTATTCAAGCCCAAATTTAATTTCAGATAGTCTTTTCACATGAAGGAAAATCTATTGTATCCCAGAGTCACACAGTAGTAAAACAAATTATTACTATCCAAATTATTATTCTCATTGATAGATCATCTACAGCTGTCAGTGTTAGTCTTTCTGGTTGACCCATGCCGCATTGTAAAGTTGGATCTGCTCGCAGCAGCGCTGAACCCTCCACTAGTGAGAAGCAGGTTGCTTCTACATTTGGAGACTGATAGAGTAGAATAAAGAATAATATGTGGGCTAATTTTTGTGTGTATATCAAACGGCACAATCTGGCAATAACTTAATCTAATACATGTATTATGTTTTGTACGTGTTAAAGTGATAATGAGAAGTACTATTTTACTGCTGATGCTCAAAGAGCTTTGTGCTTCTTGTATACTACTCCCCAGAACACTTTTTGCATCATTCACATCATTTTGGGATTCTACAAGACATTGATCTAATTAGAGTTAAACTTTGCCAGTCAAAGCCACAGCAGTTTTTGCTGTCAATATGCAACAACTAGTTTTCAAATCAGATGTTTGTGTGTAGTTCAGCTGATGGGCTTGTTGGTGTCTAAGCACTCCTTTCACTGCTGTAGATGTCATCTTGTAAAACACGATAGATCTTCTTCGTCAGTGACGAAAGCATGCCTGTGCCATCCATAACTATTGCACATAAAGGGCATACAACCTCGTTACCTGCCTTTTAGTAGTCCATGGCATTGCAAGGTCTTGGGACATAACCTGCTGTTCCAATTCAATGCTGATGTGAGTGAACAATCTTTGTATTGGGTCATTAATAAAACAAGGTATATTTAAAACTTCTGAGATGTATGTAACTATCTATGCAAGGGCTCTTTCTTCACTGAGAACTACTTATTTCTGGTCAAAGTGGCATCAGCAGTGAAAGAAAACCAATCCCAGTTCTACTGAGTAGATTGGTCATTTAGGTTATTCCGTAAAACACAATGTAAGTTTCTTCCTGTGGTAGAGGCAGGTTGGCTCAGTGTTTTGGAGTCTCGGAATTCCTGCTCTCACATGCCATGGAAGACTCCTTTATCCAAGGGCTTTATACCACCAATCGTGAGAGTGGAAAATAAGAACATATTTGTTAAACATTGGATCACAGTCATTCAGGTGTCTGAAAACATTCCTTTGAGTTTCTGATAATCTAGCAATTTTTGTTTTAGGCCTGTCTTGATAGAAACCCAGCAGCTTTCTTACCAAAGATTGAGAAAAGGAAACTAAAAGAAATTAAACCTCACCATAACAAAGGATGTAATTGCAAGCGCTCAGAATGCCTCAAGAACTACTGTGAGTGCTTTGAGGTGCGTCAGGTGAACTGCCCTCTCATGAGTTACTTCCTTAACTTTGTATTCTGTAACTAGCAGTTGCTAAAACTAATAATTTATTTCTTTGTGTTTTTCGTCACAATACTTTTTGAACATCAGGCACCATCTTTTTCTTGTCATGGCTTTAAAGAACTGAATCTGGCTGAAGTAGATCAGCTAAGATTTTCAGTATTGGGAGCTCTCAACCAATGCCTTGCTTCAGAAGAAACAAGCAGTGGTTTTCTGCTAATTCTGATATTCTCTTTGCATCTGTGGTATTTTGTTATCTTGCAGAATTATGCACAAATTGATTGGACGACTGATATGTCCATGTACAGAACATCAACTGCAGAGAGTCCATGGAAAAAACCCTGTCTTGCTTCCTTACTGAATTGACACTGGTGGTCTTGCTCTGGGTGTATCCAAGACCAGAGCATCTAGAATAAGTCCCTGGTGGTATAGCTCCAATGGTTGCTTGAATCTACGTTTAGTTTAAGATTTATACAACTTTTATTCTAAGTGTTCTGTATTTTCCAGGCTAAAATTATGTGTTCCTCTATTTGCAAATGTATTGGTTGCAAAAATTATGAAGAAACTCCAGATGAAAAAATACAGGCAAACGTGCTAAACTACATGGACTTTGGAAATAACGAAGAAAATAGCCCAGTTTTAACATCAACATTCAAAATGTTATCCAAATCGAAGAAAGACAGGTGATTGTTTGGAAATAGAAATACATAATTCATTGGTCTGACGTCGTTAATGTTTTGTGTAGCCATTTTTATAATTAGCTAAGGAATAGTGACAGATGGCCTATATACAAGGAATCACTTCACATCGCATTTACCATCTTTTTTCTATAAATAAAAACATATCTAAAGGAGAGGCTGTAACTTTAAGTAGATAGTATACAGAGTTTAGGGATATATGTATTAGTTCTGCTTACATAACAGCAGTTATTTATGTGTTTATCACACATTTAATTTTCTGAACCTCTTCCCCCCTTAGCTACTTTATTTTTCATTCAGTTTCTCTATTCTTAGATTTTCCTATGTTCAGGCATTCATTTCTAACACAACCTTGACCAAAGAAGTACTAAGAAAATTGTTAATATTTTTCTGAATTATTTTTCAATTAAGAAGCATGCTTATATCACTGCTTCTCTTCCATCTGTTCTTCCTTTGGTCCACCTCCTGTCAATTTTATGTGTTGGCAATTTGGATTATAAAATATTCTAAGAAAGCCTGATGTTGTTATTGTTTTCTAACATATTTGAAGCCTAATCTCTATTTTTCTTGGTTTACAGTCATTTGCCTAATAAATAAAGCACCTGTTAATAACAATTAAAATTAATTAAATCACCTCTTAATTGATTTTAGGGAGCTTACTCCAGGCTCTAAAATTTTCAGTTTGCATACATAGTTTTCTTTGCTTCTTTGCATTAACCATTACCTTGAAATTCTTACCTGAATTCCATTTTTAGAAACACTTTCTGATGATCTAGTTTTAAAATATTTTAATAATTTCTCTTGTTGGTAGTGTATTGATGGGGTAGATGGTGCCAAGTTATGCCTTTGCTTGAATCACGCAGTGAAATTCCTACAGAGATACACCTTACAGCAACTACTGCTGCTACTCTCCTTCAGCTCTGTGCATTCCAACTTTTAACTGAGCTTTGCAGTCTGTCCTTTATTTTGTGTATTTTAAATGGAGATATTTCATACAGTTTCTTTCCCCCTGTTAGGCAACCAGCTGTATGTATATCTTGGGAAGAAGTGAAAGCAGTATGTGCTTGTCTCCTGGTGCAAGCTCAAGAAGCAGAAGAACGAGGTTACTCTGTCTGTCTAGCTGAGCAGATGATCATGGAGGAATTTGGGAGATGTTTATCCCAGATCCTGCGTGCATGACTGAAATCTAAAGGACTGAAAGTTGAATAATGCTCAATGTATTACAGAGCCAAGAAATAGTAATATTGGTATGTTGCCACAGTCTCCACAATTTTGCTGCTTAATGATCTTACTTTGGTCTTTTGTGGGAATAATTTCATTGACTTCAGCTGAATTCTTTTTGAATTATGGTGGTGTAAGTGTAATCAGCATCACATCCAGCATTATTCTGAATAACTTAATGCTGTTGAAAGTGTATTATATATTTTACAATTATATATTTTATATATAAAACATTTCCTCTCTAGTTAGGGCCTTCTGAGCTAATTCTTCAGTCTTTACCTAGACTCCTTGTTAAATTAACTTTAAATTACTTTATTTCATGTTTATGTGAGTAGAGATAAGGCAGAAATTTAAGTAAGACTTTGTTATCTTAGGTGGGTTATTTTATGACATATGAAACAATTCTATTTCTGGTGGTAGTAGGCAAATCCACTAAGGCAAATCCACAAAACTTAGTTGTTTTGGCAACTTATTTTTGCTGTCTGCAAATGTACTATTCTTGGAAAACAGAACAATGTTGTCAGGAGATTTGGTATTTATTGTAGGAAAAAAACCCCACACCAGATTTTGTTCAACATTAGATCTGTTAGACAGATGAACCTCATAAAGAATAGGAGGAAAATTATCTCCTTTTTACTACTACTGTAAAGTACAAAAGTTTGTGATGGAAAAATCTTTTATGTACATATCATTTAGCATTGAAATTTGCTGAATCCTACATTTGCAATCCAGCTTCCCTTAAAGCTTGGAATACCTTTGTTTAATTATTCATTTTTCTTATGTGGACATTTTCTTTGTGACATTTCTTCCTCTTCTCATTGTGCTGTTGGGATAAGAGTAGATTTAATTTTCTTTAACAGGAGTAAGCTATTTGCTGCCATTTTTCTGGAAAAAATAAAAAAGAAAATCATCTAAATGAATTGGCAGATTATATAAAAATGGATGTTATTTGGTTTTGGACATTTTATGCTAAGTTGGTAACGTACGCTTGGATATTTTTGGCTTTTATGCTTAAATTAATAAAGATATTCTCCATGTCATGTTGATTCATGAAAAATTGCCAGGACAGGAGGTGAGACTGCATGGTATTTTAAGTTTTTGTTTAATACGAGGGAGGGCTTTTTTGTTAGTGGTAGTTGATATGTGAATGGGTTCCATTCTATATCTTTGTTTTTAACAACTGCTGCTTGAGATTCCTGAAGGTCAGAGGAGAAAATGAATTCTCAAAGTGCTCCATAAGTGATATGGCACCGTCTATATACTTCACCCCTTCTTGGGCCCTTCAGTTCCTAAGATGATTTCTTCTGGTTTTGGAATTAATATTTACATAAAGACATTGTCTTAAAAAGTATTTGTCCCCTAATAGAGTTACTAAGAGGTCATAAATCAGAAGAGCACACAAGGGCTGTAGAGTCAATAGGCACTCCATAAGGAAGCAAAGCATGAAGAGAAAAAGAAAGCAGCCTATATTGCTAAATATTGCCTTGAAATAAAATTTCAGAAATCAACTCACTAAAATTCCCACTGGCATTGAGGTTCAGTAGGATTAACACTAGTAAACAAGAAACTGGGGCTAGCACTAGTGACGTAAGTCTGGATTAAGAACAGCAATTTGAAATAGAAATGCAAAATAAAATTAAAAATTATTGGGAGGTGTAGAAAAAGAAAATACATTCTAAGAGGAACTGTTAGAATTGTTGAAAAACTAAATTCCGTGTAATACAGGCTCATGTTCAGATGCATCTTGATCTGAATACACACAGCAGGTCACAATACCATAATGTAAAATGGCAATTTTTTAAGCCCAAAAGAGAAATGAGCTCAAATATGGGGAAGAAACAATTAAGAAGAAAAATAATAAGATTTTGACAAGTTAAGAAGTTGGAAAACAATAAAGAAAAAGGGAAAAATTCACAGGGCAAATTAAAGGAAAAAATAAAGATAATTAAAATGGAATTGGGGTGGTGGTGTGGTTCAAGCCCACAGAACCACGCAGCCGCTCGCTCGCTCCCCCTGCTTTTTCCTCCTCCAGCTCCCAGAGGGATGGGGAGGAGAATCGGAGGAATGCAACTCCCACAGGTTGAGATAACAGCTCTCCAGTAACTAAGGTATAATACAAACCACTGCTGCTACCAATAATAATGATAAGAGGAATAACAAGGGGAGAGGACACAACCGCTCACCACCCGCCGACCGATACCCAGCCCGACCCGAGCAGCGATCTGGGCCTTCCGGGTAACTCCCCCCAGTTTCTATACTGGGCATGACGTGCTGTGGTATGGAATACCCCTTTGGCCAGTTTGGGTCAGGTGTCCTGTCTCTGCTTCCTCCTGGCTTCCCCTCCTCTCTGGCAGAGCATGAGACTGAGAAAGTCCTTGGTCAGAGTAAACATCACTGAGCAACAACTAAAACCATCGGTGTTATCAGCATTGTTCCCAGGCTGAAAGTCACAAACACAGCACTGCACCAGCTACTGAGAAGGAGAAAAAATGACTGCTGGAGCTGAACCCAGGACAGTGGGAAAAATAAGGAAATTCTATTACCAAAAGTAAATGGTAGGAGTGCAGGGGAGAAATACAAATAGCACAGTATGGGAAATAAATGAAGAAGAAATGATCTACAGCTTTGAGTGACATCCCTAGGTTCTCATCTCTGATAGACATGATGTATAATGCTGAGAACTTCTCTCAGAGTACCAGCTAAGAAGACTCGAGGGAAGGTTTCTGCATTTTCTGCATGAATTTTGAAGTCACTGTATAAATGAAACAGGCCATAAATGAAGTTAATATCAATTAGATTGTATTTTGTAAAAAAAGTACAAGGCACAAGAATGTGTAAGAGTTTACACTGAGGCAACAAGAACCAACTAGTAAATGTAAAAAGCTGAAATTAATTAGCTTTTTCATTATGCAGCAGTAAAGCCCATTTGATTTAATATTTTTTATATTACAGATGCTATAAACTTGGTCTGTAAAAACACTCCCAGGCTCTGTGGTGACTAGGATTGTAATTATATTCTGATAGCAAAAGATAAATACAAAGCAGAAGTTGATGATTCATAATGTAATAGACAAACCCAGCAAAAGCAATTTCTGTAATTGTTAGCAAACTCAAAAACTCTGTAAAAGAGAGTTACATAGTCAATAATGAAAGCTAAAACTAGCTTTGTGCAAGTAATGCTTTGTGCAGTCAGTGGGGAAATTATTTGAGTATAACACTGACACAGCTACAGATTTCCTCCTGAAAGTCAGGTAGGAAAGATGCACCAGTTTTATTAACTAAGTGTAGTCCTTTTGTGCTAAAGAAAGGTTTTCTTTCATAGCAAAGGTGAAAACTGTCTTGGGGAAAAGGGCACCCGAAATCCAGTCATGAGAAGGTCAAGGGGGTAGCAGAAAAAGTTCCGTACAGAGAAGATTGAGAAGGAAAAAATCTGGCTGAATAGAATTGAAACATGTGGCAACTGTAGAAGGGAGAAAATGGCTTTTCAAGTAAGTTGACAATTTGCCTTTCTATTCCATACAAGGGTCTTGGAAATTAGATACTAATGAATGGAACTTTTTAAAATGGCTTTACATGAACAAGAACTAAGTAGAACTGCCTTCAGTCATTGCTGCTTCATCTAGCAGAAGAAACGCTGGCCCCAGCAAATAAATATTTCAGAAGGAGAAGGATAGCTAAGGTGTTAAGCAGGGATAGCAACTACTGTGCTGTTCTTGGTAATGGATCTTCTTTTCTTTTTACGGTATCTTATAGTCTGTTCAATTTCTGAATATGAAATTATGATATATCAAAAAGAGATACATTCATGTTTCTGAGAAAACAAGCAGGAATTAAAAACCAAGGAAGCCCATGGATTCATAATTCCATGAACTATTTACATTTAACCTTGCAGAGAAAACACAGAGACCCTTTTGAAACTGGTGATGTGTCAGTCTCATCTGAAAAGGACAAGAAATACTACTCTTTTAAAGATAAGTAAGGACAGAGATTGTTCTATTGGGTACAATTGCAAAGTTACTTAGAGTGAACATTCTCATCCAATGTCTGTTTTCTATTTAATTTTTAACCTATGGATATATCAGACAGTATTCTAAAGGCTTTGTAAACTGTTGTCAAGATCTTCAGTGCAGAGACCAGGGCTCAGCACATTAAAATTATTTCAGAAAGTTCTCTGAAATTCAGAAATTCAGACACTGCTAAGAGGTGCCTCTTGGCTCGTAATCATGCTTTTCCACTGAAGGATGTTGTAATGTGGTAAGTGAGATCTTATTTCGAGGTATGGATTGGTACAGAGTGAAAATTAAGTGGGGAACTAAATTTCTCATATATAGATAACATTGGATAAGAGAAGCAACACACAATACAACCAACTCCATGAGAGCTTTACATAAAAATTGAAAGTTGCTATCTGATGCCTTCCCTATTAGTTACATGTGGAATCTCTTCCTGCTTGATTAGGGCAGGTGCCATCTAACTTAGTCAACTGTTCATAAGGGTATCAGGGATTAAATGTTTCTGTTTCACGACACAGAATAAAAAAATTGAAGTACATTCTGATAGCAGAACTTTTTAGATTACTTGGCCATTTGAGAAGCTGACATATTTGGAGAGGAAGAGAAAAGGGCAAATGTCAAGGGAGCCCCAATTTTAGTACAGAGCAGTATGAAGGGGTACATAAAAGCAAATGGAAATACGAGACATACGCCTCAGAAAGAATGGTAGCTGGAGCAAAGCAGCAATATGTACAAAATAACTTCTAATTCTATATTTGTTTTGCATCAGTTTGAGACAAGTGGAGGCAAAAAGAAATTAAATGGTGAATCAAGAGGTGACTCTAAGCTACCAATATTCATTTATACAGCTATGGAAAAGCTTAATACTGTTCTAGAGAATATTAGAAAAGATATTTTTAGTAGAAAGAGAAAAATGTATTATTTTACAAAACACTGCTAAATCCCATTTGGAACACTGTGTACTGTTTCGGTCATCTGTGCTCAAGAAAGATAAACTTAATTTGGAACAGATGCAGTTCTCGGAAAGCCTCCTGGGATGAATGAGGGAACGGAATACCTGTCTTTAAATGGAGAGAACAAAGGAGTTTGATTTATTCTAGACAAATAAAGCCTGAAAGGAGATATGATTCCTCTTTATAAATAAATTCAGGGGATAAATATTGAAAAGAGATAGAAACTGTTAAAGATAAAAGATGCATATCACTTGAATTTGGAACGGAAAGTAGGTTTTCCTAACCATTTGAAGAGTAGAGTTCTGAAAGGGTCTTCCAGGTAGGATAGTGTCAGCCAGGAACCTAAACTAATTAAAAATGGATCTTCAAAAAACTGCATAATGAATCAGATATTATGAAGATAATAAATTATGTCTACAGTACAAGGCTTTGGGTGTCTATACATTAGCATATTCAAGAAATTTTGAAAGGAAAACCTGTAGATTATGCCACATATTCCTTGCACGAATCTCATTCTTTGGGGCTTTTGCCAGTCACCTATGGCACCCAGAAAAACATTTCTTCTCCTTGATAGGTCATTCTCAGAACCATTAAGCACTGAACACTAACAGATGCTGAGGCAAAACGCAGGCATGGGTGTTAATCTCGTTAGAGATACTAAATTCACCTGTTTAAATGCTCAGGCTTGCATTGATCAGGCTTACTTTGGGATCATGAAAGAAGTTTTTTTGGGATTTGGAATTGTTTTGGGATCCTCTATGAGGGTCATCTATGTATTTAATATTCTGCCAATGCAAAGATTTACTTAATGTTTCTTTCCGTAGCATGGTGTTGTTTTGAATCACGGTTCACATGTGAAATATACCAAGAAAGTGCTGGAACCTGTTTGGGGATCATGAAGTATATGTTGTGTAGTGCCTTCTAAACTGTACACATTGCTTACTGTCAACAAGGGACTTTGGGTTTGAAGATCCAACCCTATATGACTAATTCGACACCAAAAAATTGATGGTACCTGAGCAAGGAAAGCAGAAGAGCTCAGGTGATTGTAATAAGATTAGCCTGCAGCCTGCTTGTTGCCACACAAGTCCATAGTGATGAGGTAAAAACAATGTCAAAGTAGGAATTCAAACTGGTGAGCAAGGATCATCGGCATATATAGCAAGGCACGGATGTATCTATGAAGTAGCTTAGGAAGGTACAAGGCCTGAGTGAAGGGGGGAGGTCTCCAACAAGGCTTCTCACAGCTCTCTCTCTCACAAGTCTGATCTACAGCTGTGCCAGATCAGAGCTGGCTTCCAGCACAGGCAGCCAAATCTCTAGGAGTGGAGGAAAAGGTTGGTGCATTGGGGTCCTGGCAGGACGGCAAGACCAACAGGTTTATTGTGTTATTCCAGGTTCTATTGATTTGAATGACTATACCTGTTGCAGTGATAGTTTTGTGTATGTTTGGTACTTTGGACGTGTCTGTATTTCTGCTTCTGGGGTAAAGCAATGGTAAGTCAGTTTATTCTGTAGAGCTACTTGTGATTGACTGACAGAGTGCATGGGGAACTCGACACAAGTGGGCTTCATTCCAAATGTTGCAATGTGGCAACCTGCTGTGGCATACTTTATGTTGCTTATTTATTATAGTTCTTTATTTACAGTCATAGTCAATAAATAATTAAGCTATGTTAAGCCTTGTGAGAGATGCTAAGAGTTAACAAATTTCCTAATGAAGTGCACACCCCGGAGCTCAGTTTGCAGAAATGATTTGGTTTGTGGCTAAGGACGTAAAGAGGGACTCCAGAGACCTGAGTTTGCTTCTCAGCTCTGCTACATGCTTCCTGGCTGGTCTTGAGAAATTCACTGAATTTAATTCAGGAAGATATTTGAGTGAAAATGAATAATAAACCAAAGTATATTGCCAAAGACTTTCTTGAATTAGGACTCTGGGAAGCAGGATGACAGCCCCACTCCTCCTCTTCCCTTCCCCCCCCCATTTTCCTTTAGTCTGACAGTTTAGAGCTCAGTCCAGAACCCATCCAGAATCTCTCTATATACTTCAGGAAACTCTGAGTTAAGCCTTTAGAAACAGTAAGGAATATCAAACCCTGAGCAGGTACCTAAGAGAATGGGGGCCTGATTTCAGCTGAGGCCTCTACTACAGCATAAACTGTAAAAATACTGCTAGTATGTTTGGGAAAAGAAGAGGTATACAGCGAATTTGCAAGACCCAGTAGCCAGCTTACAAGCATACCCCAAAATAATGCTTTCATAAGTCTTCATTATAGTGTGGCTATTCGCCATTCAGTATTACCCACTTCAGAGACCAAATGTGACTCATTATTAAATTACTTCAATCTGTGCTGATGTAGAAGCACCCCTGACACATCTCTTTGTGAGCCATTTCTTCAGAGTAATTGCATTAGTAATAGCCGATTACACAGCAATCTTATGTTCCTACAAAATTAAAGTAATTACTGTAGCTAGAAACACATCCCCCCGTATTCTGTCCTAGCAAGGGAGCTGGTAAAAGGCAATGTAATGCTTCAATTCTTTCTAATAAGAGAAACATTAAGGTATAATTATATTATTGATGTGGTGTAAGAGAAGTTTTCATATCTGAAAGAGCATGGAAACAAAATTATAGTTTGAAGATACAAATTCCTAGTCCATAAAGGGGAAAAAAGGATCTTTGCATTTAGGTTCCTTAACAAATATGGAGGAAATATATCAGAAATACACGAATGAGTTTGTGTTCTGCAGTTTAAAAGTAGCAATGTCTGTCTTTGGAATAGATTTGTTATGCAAAAGGTGCTTTTTCCTTTGAACTGGATTGTTCAGAGAAGCTGATACGGGTTTATTTCTTTACCGAAGTGAATAGGTATTAATTTGTTCATATGACAAACCTCCTGAACACTGGTGTCAGCTTCTAATGAGTCTGTATCCTGTAGAACTGACTTTGCCTTTTAATTTTCACCTTTCGTTGTGTCTTTGAGGAAAACCTGACATTTCACGTTATGTTTAATGTAAGAGCTGGGGAAGAGCAGACAGGCCACTCCCTGAGAATTCAGCTAAGTAATTCAATGCTCAATAGTCTAGAAGAGATACTGAAAAGCCAATCTCTTCACAGGTATTATGGGGTGTCAGAATTCATAGACAGAGTGCCACTAGGTCATTTGAGTGTGGCATTTTGTGTTTGGGTGTGGGAGGATGAAACTGTGCTCCGTGACATAAGTACTCCTTGAGGTTTCACTTTCTTTCACACTAATGTGCCATGTTTGAATTGCTGAGTGCAAGCTGATGGCCCTGGTGTAGAAAAAAAATATCCACTTACGGAATATTTCTTGCAATATGTGATGAACAGAAATGATAAGAATAACATGGTGCTCCAAATTGCTTTGATTACAAAAGCCCAGCAAGTGCATCTGGATTGTTTAATTAACATAGCCGAATAAGAGAAAAGTGTGAGGTTAAGCTAAATCCCATGGATGCAAGGATCTTAGCAAATGTCGTATATAGTTGCCATTTATTAGTAATTATTACAGTGAATGAAATGGCTCCTTTAAAATGTCTAGAAATGAAAAGTATTATGGGATCATAAATGAGTTTTAAGACATAATAATGTCTTAACTGCTGCATGTGGAATTCAGCGTAGCTTACATTTTGCTTATAGAGAAAAGGTAAAAAAAGATAAAGATGAGGGGAATACAGGAATATCTTCCTCCCAAAATGCCACAAGTGTTGTATAGCTGATGTTCTGAAAATGAAGAAGTTACTTTATTCCAAAGCTTTTCTGCCCATGTCTAGTGGCAATATGAATTCAGAAAATTTGTAAGTGAAAACTCATACATATGAGGGAAACTTTGGTTAATTTTAACTAATTAGAATCATTTACAGAGTTCCACGAGTTGAGGTATAGACAATAAACATAAGCAGACTGCCCCAGTTCTATTGTGTCGGAGATAATTGTGGCTGCTGAGCAGTTCTTTATTGAACAGACCTGGGATGATATTTCATGAACCAGTCCTTGAAGAGATGAAGTCTGTCCTCTGACAAGTCTTTTCTGTGTTACGAAGATTTGTAGGTGGCTTGTCAAGCAAGCAGCTGTTACTTGTGTTATAAGGTGAGTGATAGGCAGAAATACAGGAAGATACTTTGCACAAATCTACTGTGAGTTCGATCATTAAAACTACAGTTAATTTACAGCTCTGGAGATTTTTAACTCTATATTAACTCAAGTAGCTGGAGCAGGCTCCTGGCAGGAGCTGTGTCCCCAGTAGGGAAATCTTGCTTGAGGAGTTCATTAAGGAAAAGCCCAATGCTGAAGAGTGTGAGGAGGAAAGAGCAGCA